ATTCCCCCAGCAGTCGCCCCCTCTCCTCCCTGCCCCCCATTTCCCTCTCTCACCCTTGTACAGCTTCCTCCAGTTATCTTTGTGAGGACGGAGAACCTGATCCAGTCCATTAGCTCAGCCCCACTCCCTGATGTCCCCCCACTGCCAGGGAACATGACACTGCCCTCCACGCACAGATGGGAGCTCTCCAGCCTGACAAACATGTGTTGAGAAAGCATTTTTGACCAAGTTCCATATCCAGGGCTAGTGGCAGACAGCGGAGGGGGAATGAAAGGCCCTCTTGGCTGGAGACGCTGCAGATAAGCAGCCACAGGAAGCCTGCAAGCAAAAAAAGCTGCTAGTCCCAGAAATTTTAGAGGGGAGAGCAGCGACACAAAATAATTGCTGAAAGAATGCAGCTTGATTGCAGACAGCAGGGAGAGCCTCAAATCCTGCAAGGAATGAAAGCCCAGGGTGACAGCTAAAGGGGAAGAGGAGTTATCAGGCTGGGAGGAGTGATTTATTCAATGAAGGGGATTAAGAGTCCAAAAGTTAATGTATGTAATGTAAAGCAGGAAGGCCCAGGGCTCAGGGGGGATCGGTGGGAGAGGTGCACGTGGCGCCCGGCTGGGCTGTCAGGGGCACCCAAACCATCCCAGCACCCAAGGCTTCCTGCATCCCTCCTGCCAGCGGGCTGGGAGGGGGAGCAGTGAGTCCAGGAGGGATGCAGCCAGGTGTGAAACATCTCCTGGAGTCAGGACCTGCAGGTCTGGGCGCTCACTGGTGTCAGCAGGAATTTGGCTGCTGGGCAGCTTTCACAGAAACGTAGAACAGTTTGGGGTGAAAGAGACCTTTCAAGGTCATCTGCAGAGTCACAGAATCACAGAAGGTGCTGAGTTGGAAGGGACCCATAAGGATCATCAAGCCCTGCATAGGACCATCCTCAAGAGTCACACCATGTGCCCGAGAGTATCTTCCAAATGCTTCCTGAGCTCTGGCAGCCTTGGGGCTGTGACCCCTGCCCTGGGGAGCCTGTCCCAGTGCCTGCCATGGGCAGGGACACCTTCCGCTATGCCAGGTTGCTCCAAGCCCCTTCCAACCTGGCCCTGAACACTTCCAGGCAACCTGTGCCAGGGCCCAGAGAAGTTGTGGATGCCCCCCACGCTCTGCTCTGCTCCTTCACCTCTCCACAGACTGACAGCAAGAGGCCAAGTGCTGTGCCAGCTCATCCCACCGGAGCGCTGCCAGCCGTGCCAGCCGTGCCAGCCAGCGTCCCCACATTGTTCATCCATCCTCCCTCTATTCATCCCTCCTCTCCTCCCAGGTGCCTCGCCAGAGAGGGAGGGGATCCTGTCAGTTGCTAACAAAAATACTGTGCAAATCATATTAAAATAAAAGGCCCTCGTAATTTTTAGTGCGTATTGAAGTGGTTTCTCTTTCTTTCTTTTTCTTTTGGCTCTTTGAGCATTTTGGAGCACAGCTGCCAAAAATGAAATGTTTGACCAGTCCCAGTGACGCTTCTGTTGGCCTCTTTCCCTTCCTTTCTCCCTCCCTACGCTTCAAAGGCTCTGTCTCACACTGTTCTGTCTCCAGGTCACCTGCACACACAGGTGCTTCTGGATGGGCAGAAGTTCCCTTTGTCTGCTTTTGCCATGCAATCTCACTTCTCCTGAGGGCATATTCCTTAAAACTCCTCACCCAAACTGCTGCCCCTTCCCCCCCGCCCAACCCTTGAGTTCTCCTGTTCCTCCATTGTGGAGTGGGGGTGGTGGGAGCAGGGACTGGGAGCCCTTTGCCACTCCAAGGTGAAGGAGAGGACATGCCACAGGGGCCATGAGGCAGGAGAATGTCCCACACTCGGGTGCAGCTCCAGAGAAAGGAGCAGAGGGGAGCAAACAGCCGGGCTTTCCATCAGTGATGGGAGACGGGTGTCACAAGCCTGAGTTCATCAGCAGAAAATGAGCAGCAAGGGCCAGTGAAAGCAAAACTGCAGAGAAAAAGCTGATTCCCACTTCCTGGGAGATGCAGAGTCACATCACTGAGGCACAGTCACACTCCTGGCATGGTCACCTGGCTGGGACACCAACACAGGCAGCGCTGACAGAGCCAGAGCCCCCTTCTCCTCCCCAGTCCCCTCTTCCAGCACATTCCCACTGATTCCCGGGCTCTTACAGACAAGCCCACTGCTACCACGCTCTCAGTTCCCACCAGGAGCTTTCAGCCAGTGCTGGACCCATGTCTTTGTGCCCATTTTACAGATGTGAAAGCTGAGGCTTGACAAAAGAAACACACCCAGAGACTTTTCCCTCGAGTCTCCACCCAGCCCCGGTCCACGGCCACCAGTAACCCCATTTATACTGGTTTGTCCCTGTCCCTGGGCCACACACATCCTGGCAGGGTTGCAGGAGGACACCAGACCCCACCACATCATGTTGCCCAGCCCGGCTCCTTCCCACTTTCTTGCCAGCATGTGATGGATACACACACCCTCCTGCTCCGCTGGAATTAATGCCGGGAGCCGGAGCTGCTCCCGTGTTTAATCCACTAATGGCATTAATTCCCTATTAAATTAACCAGTGCAAATATGCTGCTGGTTCAGTTGGGGAGGAGGGGGTTGTGCCTCTCCCTCCCCCACCCTTTTATCCTGGTAAAGACACTGGAACATTTGTTAGCGGAGAGAGGGGGGGGAAATCCCACAAAGAATTGCAGCATTTATGCAGATATAAAAAAAAAAATAAATGGCAGATTATTTTTCAAAAAAAGCCAAAGAAAACTCCCCTTTTTCTTGCAAACAAGCTGCCTTCCCTCTGGGAAGAGGCTTCCATCGCTCAGTCCCAGCCTGCTGGGAAGACAAAAGGCTTTCTCGGCGGGGCAGCGGCCGGGAACGCCGGGAGAAGGCCGGGAGAAGGCCGGGAGAACGCCGGGAGCTCGGCAAGGCTGCTCGGCAGCAGCCCTGTGGTGCTGCCCAAGCCCAGCTCACATTTCAAAGCTCTTGTTTTTCAACTGAGTGTCCTCTTTTTCCCCTTTTTTAATGCATATATGTATTCAAAGCAGAGTTATGATAAAAATCCGACCCAGGGCTGGAAGAGGGGGGTTGAGTTGCATTTTGGCACAGATGGGGTTCATCCCTTCTGCAGGAGGCTCCTTGCCAAGAGACATCTTGGAGTGGAAGGAATTCAAGAAATCAGGGATTTTGCATATTGTCGAGCTTTATTTGTCCCATCAGAGGGAGGTGAGAGGAAGCGTGAAGGGTTTGAGGGTAAAAAAATCTGGTCTGGGATTTACCTGTGACTGAGGCAGGTGAAAAGTGTTGGATGATGGATTCTTCCCAGTGAATGAAGAGACAAAGGGGAGTCTCTTCCCTGTCTGACACTTTGGTAGCAGCAGATTTTCAGGCAGGGGAGGTGAAGTAAAAAATCTGGTCTGGATCAGTGTGTTTGTACCTCCGTGGATGAGAGTGTTTGTACCTCCTCAGACGGACTCTGCGATGGTGTTTGAGATGAAGATGATTTGGAACAAGCCCTCATGGAAGACACATGATGGGAAACCTCTCCCTGTTGCTGGAATTGTTTGTTGGAGATACCAGCTCACATAAGATCATCACCCACATCCCCCTCGCTGCTGCCAGAGCACTTTGTCCTCCTGTTTGTTGTCTTAGTCTCCTTTTTTCATCCTTTGCTGCTCAAGACCAGCAGGAGCTGAACCTTCCCAAACTTCTCCCTGGGATTTTTGGATGACGTGTCCTGGCCCCACAGGAGATGAGCCCGAACTCACAGCCCTGCTTCTTATGAGTTTCCAGGAAAAGGCTACGGAGAGCTTTGCATGCAAACACGTGTGCCTGCATCACTCAGGCAGCCAGGGAGGACAGGGATACCGTGTTCCTCGGTCACTGATTAAAATTAACCAATCCTAATCAGATTTTCAAACAGGAGCTTTCAGGGAAGTGTGGACAAGTGCATTGTGATGATTTGTTAATGTTGCTCCGAGACTCGGAGCCCTTAATTAATGTATTCATGAAAAGCACACACAAAGCAGGTTGCAGATAAAATGACAGGTGGAATGGGGTGATTTCATTAATTATGGACTTCTGGTCAGTCTCCCCAAAGCTCTGATGCCTCTGCCATCCACCCCTGACTCAGCTCCATGTGCCTGTTGGTGGTGGGACAGGTTAGAACAGGCTGATGCTTCTCACCTTGCCCATCCTCAGGCTCCCTGCTCCTTGTGCCACCTGTGTGGACCCGGCTCTCCCCAAAATCCTGCATCCAAACCCCCCCAGATCATCCCCAGGAGAAGAGCAGAGCCTCCCTGCCAAAGGCAGCAGCAGCTCCGAGCACATCAGAGCTCCGAGGCTCATCACCTGCTCCTGCCCCCAGGGAAAAGAGTGGAAATCCAAGACTAAGTGCAACTTACACCCCGGATTCTTTGAACGGGACATAAATGGCAGTTCTGGACACACAAAAGAGTGAGTGTGAAGTTTCCTGCCCCTGAAATGGAGGCCCAGAGGGGGGTGTCCCTGAGGAGTGCGGGCGTGTGGCGTTTGGGGGTGGTGAGGTGGCAGATGGTGAGACCTCAAAGCAGCTCTGCTCCGATCCCGAGGTGAGGCAGGGATGGGGAAGGTGATCCCTCAGTCCCTCCGGCTGTCACCTCCCTCCCACGTGAGACTCAAACCATCAGGGAGGGGCCACCACAAAACTCTCTCCAAAGTCCTTCTGTTATGGGGCCACCTAATGCTGCTTGCAAGGGCCCAGGGGAGGGTCAGAAAAGCTCATCCCAGCTGCAGCATTCACTGGATAACATTTCCACGAGAATTTACTTCAAGTTCTGTGCTAAGGCCGTGGCTTGCACCAACCACACCACACAAAGGATGTGAATTCCTGGTTTGTGCAGCTGCCGAGCTCAGATCAGCAGTTAGGTTACTCCTGGGGGTGTCCAGGCTGCTGGAATTCAACGGAAAAACCACCCCTGAGCCTGGCCAAAGACTGTGACATCGTCCCAAACTGCCCGTGGGACAGCCCTGCCCATGAGGATCATGCTTGTGGGAGCTGAAATACAGGGAATCCACTTGGGCAGGTCTGAAACAAGTGAAGGTGAAGAAGAAAGGAGATAACAGACCTGAGAACAGATCCCAGGCAATTCACTGGCTAGGCACTCCTAGTAATTGTCCTTTGTGATGTGTATTCCTTCTTTTAGTGTCCTTATCATGTGTATTCCCCCTTTTTATGTCCTTTACAAATCCCCCTTTTGGGGGGAAATTATTCCCCCTTTTGGGAATTGTGTATTCCCTCTTTTTGGACCATTATCATGTTTATTCCTCCTTTTAGTGCCCTTTGTCAGGTGTATTCCTCCCTTTCTCTAGAGGAAAAGGGATTCCAAATGTCTGCAGCTGAGAGCACTCAGTTGAGGGGTGTCCCCTCGGTCAGGCTGTGAGGGGCAGCTCCACAAGGAGAGGGAGACACAGGGAAAGGCCACTGGTTTTGGAGGACACCCTTGACATCCCTTCTCTTTGCAGCGCTACTGCAACTAGTAGGGAAGGAATCATGGAATAATTTGGGATGGAAGGGACCTTTCAAGGCTATCTGATCCAACCCCCCTGCCATGGAAAGGGACACCTTCATCCAGATCAGGTTGCTCAGAGCCCTGTCCTACCTGGCTTTGAACACTTCCAGGTATGGGGCTTCTACCCCAGGAAGGAAGAAGCAAAAAGGGGATATTTTTTCAGGAAAGTCTTCCAAAAAACCAGCTCCTGCCAGGACTCTGCATTCAAGCCTGGCTGTGCAGCAAACAGTAGGTCAGCAAAACACAAGAAGGAGCTGATCCAGCTCCAGGTGTTTAAGGCTTTGGGAAATCTATTGAAGTGCCAGGGCATGTGGACAGGAGGGAGGGAGCAGGAGCAGCCGTGGAGGGGACACTGTTGTGTGAGCACATCCTGCATGGCTCAGTTACCTGCTGGGATTAAAGTCCCAAGTCCCTTCCTGAAGACTTAATTTGAGTTCACACAACCCACTTTGCCCTCTGTTTGTTCTGCAGGGAGGCAGGCAAGGACGTGAGGCAGAGGGGAACCCTGTGGTACGCAGAGTTAAAAGCCTGGGTGGCAAATCTCACAAGCAGAGATGCTCCTGGCTTTCTTTTCCTGTAGAAGGAGAAATACAGAGGAAAGGAGGTGGTCATCTCAGAAATCCCAGAATCATAGAATCCTGGAATGGCTGGGGTTCGAAGGCACCTCACAGATCACCTGGTTCCAACCCCCTGCCATGGGCAGGGACACCTTCCACATGGCAATGAGCAGAAACGTTGGCTTTGACACAAAACCTTTTTAATGGCATTTTTTTTTTTTGCAGATCCCAGCAATGGTGGAACTTGAAGTGAGTTCCAAAAAACCCCAAGGCAGAAGGTGCCGTGACATATGAGCTGGGGGGTTTGTCCTCTTCTGAGTCAGTATTGCTGAGTCCATGGAATAAAGGACAATTTAATTACTGCCGTAATAAATAGGATTGTAGAGGGATATTACAGGCATTTATTTCACGTGGCAATGGATTCAGTAAATATGCTTTGCTCAACACCCTGCTGCAGTTGTGCTCATCAGCAGCTGAAATGAAGAGCCTCGGCGGGCGTTGGGTGACTGGATCCAACCCCCAAAGCTGGGGCTGCAGGACACTTCCCCGGCACTTCCCTGTTCCGCTCTCCACCCGAGGAGATTGTCCCTGTAAAACATTCATGAGCAGCTTTAAAATAATGAAAAATTAAACAACCTTTGCTGTAAGGTATGAAATATTTACTGTGCTGCTGTAAGCTAATTGCACGCAGACACGACCCAGGTGGGAGGCGTGGCAGCACCGCCGGCACCCGACGGCTGCGGCCCAGCCTGGGGATGGCTCCTCTGCCTCAGGGATGGGGTGAGGCTGTCGCTGGGGTTTCCTCATCATAGAATCATTATGGCTGGGAAAGACCTCAAAGATCATTGAGCCCAACCTTTGCCCGAAGCTCATCCCCTCCCGGGGGCAGCAGGAGTCCCGGGAGCAGCAGGGCCCTGCAGGATGCTGTGAGCCCAAGGCCGGGATGATGGCACTGCTACAGCAGACTGAGTGCTCAGCAAATGCTCCTCAAGCTGGAGTCTCGTCCTACTTTGTTTCTTCTCCTTCTCATCCCAGTTGCATCCCTGAAGTGCTCTGATGGAAAACAGCGGAGCCGGCGGAACAAGTCAGAGCAAATGATAGATGTGACAAATTAAGCCTCCGATTGTGTTCGCTCTCATCATTGCAATTTCCTCCAGTTTTTCTTCTTGTTTAGAAGTATTTAAACATTTTGGAGCAGAGATTTGTCTGGGCTCTTTTTTCTTGGCTGATTGCAAACCACTTGCTGAGGGTGCTCAGTGTTCCAGCTGTGTTTTAGCTGGAATCACAAGTGATGGGATCAGAGTGATGGGATCAGTCACCTGGTGCTGCCGGAGGAACCTCAACCCCTGCAAAGACAAACACCAACCTCTGCTCTGGTGCAGGGACCACAACACGCTTCCTTTGAGACAGGCAAAGAGCAAACACACAAATGTTTGCAAAAAGCGAGTGGTACATGAGTGGGATGTGTCTGGAGATAAGGAATTGGCTTTTCCCACAAGCCTTTTTCCTCCAAAAACCAGGCGTGCCTGTCTCTGCCAGCCCTCTGCCTCACTCCTGCCCAGGGCAGGGACACAGCCTCAGCAGATCCCAAAATCCCTGTATCACACCGTTTTCATCCCCAAGGATAAACCCCTTGGTCCTTTGGAGCATTTTGCTCCCCGGTGCCACAGCAGGATCTGAGTGAGCAGAACCACTGAGGAAGAAAGAAGTAAACAACAGGCGAGGAAAGTATCCATTCTTTCCATTATTGTAGGATTTATCTTCCTAATATACGGGAGCGTTGCCTGGCAACACCGGCTCTCCCGACCTCGGCCACCTTCCCCCAGCACAGCCCAAAGAGCTCCATCCACATGGATACTGGCTTAAAGTTCTCCACAGCACTTGGCAGAGATACTCCAGGACCTTTCCAGTCCTTCATCCAGAGCCACAGAGCAAAGACAGGCACCCTTCTGCCTCCTGAAATGGGTGAGTTTTCTTCTGTGGGTTCATCCAGGATTTTCCACAACTGCAGCTTCTCCACCTGCATCCTCCCATCCTTCATGCCTACCTTGCCATCCCTAAACTTCATTCTGATTGCTCCCAGCTCTCAAGGAACACCTGTCACCCAACCCAGAGGAGTCCCAGTGGGTGCCATCCATGCTGCAGGGAGGCAGGATCCAGCCCAGCAGCATCGGATGGCCACTTGTACAACTTATAGAAGGGAGAGAGAAATGAAAATACCCCTTCTCAGTTGCAATTGCAGCTGCATTAATTTTAAACCCTCTATTCAAATTCTTCACATCTCAGTATCGCAGTAACATCCAGAGGTGGGCTTGAATGGGATCCACCACCCGTGTCCCATCACCCACCAAACCCTCTCCGGCCCTTTCCCGGTGTATTTGCAGCTCCATGGTTACTATCAGTACAGGAACTGCTCCTGTTCCCCTGACAATAGCAGCCCCTGAAACTTTATTCTCCACTCAGGACAGCATTAATCACTCGACACCAGCACAAAAAGGGGGCTCTGGCAAGGGGGGTTTGCTCTCCTACCCCAGGGAGAGCTGAGTGCTGCCCAGAACTGCTGCTCCTGTGGAAATGTTTCCCTCAATTGCATTCTCACACTGATACTGACCTTTTCCACACACTGCCCCATCCTGAGGTTCCAAATGAAGGAGAAAACTGAAAGAAATTGTACTCTCAGACCCACCCTCTGAGATGAGTAGCCCAGCCCAGCCTGAGGACATGGGGCAAATATCAATTGATAACTGCAAGGTCACACCAAGGTACCCTGGGGTGCTGCTGGTGAGGTTCAGCTGAGGAACAAGGGAAAGGGAAAGCAGGGATGAGGAAAAAGGGGAACAGTGAAGGCTCAACCTGTGTTTTCCCAGAGAAACAGTTTCCAAAAGCCAACCAGGGATTTTTGTAAACTCCTGCAGGTGCATTACTCGTGTTGGACAGGAACTGGAGAGGTGGCAGGTTGGCTCTGTGGGAACAAGAGAGCAGTGCTCTCAGTCCTCCTCCAACTCGGAGAATCATGGAATAGAACCTTGGAATGGTTTGGGTTGGAAGGCACCTTAAACCTCATCGAGTCCCACCCCCTGCCATGGGCAGGGACACTTTCCATTATCCCAGGTTGCTCCAAGCCCTGTCCAACCTGGTCTTGGACACTTTCAGGGATGGAGCAGCCACAGCTTCTCTGGGCAACCTGTGCCAGGGCCTCCCCACCCTCACAGGGAAGGATTTCTTCCCAATATCCCATCTACCCCTGCCCTGTGGCAGTGGGAAATGACTTTCACTGTAGAAGAGCCCACATCTCCCTTTTGCCTCCCGGATCTCTGGCTCCCAGCAAGGTGCACAAAGAGCCCCCTCCCCCTGGAACCCCTGCGGGCCCGGAGGAAGGAGGGGAGGAGGCCAGAGGGGAGCAGGCGTGGTGTTGGTGGAGAACAAGGAGCTTGCACAGGCGCTATGGTGACGGGCATTGTGTGAGACCTGAATAGACTGGGATAAAAAAAACTTCAACAGTATCAGAGCCAGGATCCCGCACGGCTCCGGGAGCGCCGGGCGACTGCTGCATTCGTGAACTTGAGGGTGGGCTGCTTTGTAAAGCTGGGAGCTGCAGGGAGAGGTAGGGAGGGATGGAGAGAATTCAGGTGAAAAAAGGTTAAGTGCAGCCAGAGATTGAAGTGAGACAGAGTCGCCCATGAGAGCAATGCAAACAGTTCATTGCAAGGAAACCTGAGCCAAGGCCATTCACTGCACAAACCCAGAGACAGGCAAGTGCCCCCTCCCCTCCCACTCCATGGGATCTGGCAAGGACAGTGCTGGCTCAGAGTTCATAAATTCTTCAGCAGAAAATACTTAGATACTTAATCAAGGGCTCCTCTGTTACTCCAGAACAAGTTTACATTATTAGAGGGGTAAAAAAAATTTAAAAAAAAGGGAAGAAAAAACACCAAACTCTCCACCAAACAAAAAGGGTCCTAAATAAAGAGATAAAGCACTATGACAGGACAGCAGTAATAGCTTTCAGGTGTATGTTCTGCATAAGATTTCCAGGCAGTTGGTTTAGTTAATGGATTCCCTTAATCTTTCAGCTGTCAGGGTGCAATCTATAGTCTACTGTTTCTTCCACATCGTATTTATAGGGACAAATTCAAACTTGTATAAACAGACAGGAGTATCTATTGTTGTGCAAGAGGAGGACACAAAGGCAGCTTGTCACTGATCCATCACAGCTGTCTGAGAGCGGAGCCGGGAGAAGCCGGCACTGAGGGGGAAACGCAAACCGGGAGCCTGGAAGGATCCAGAGGTGTTGGGGAGTGTGGGAACGGGGCAGGACGAGGAGGTGGGCACGGCCCCCTCAGCACTGAGGCAGCACGGAGGGCTGAGCTGCTTCTCGAGGCTCTTTGGGATGCTGAGAGTGTCAGCAAAGCTCTGCAGGTCTGGGGAAAAGAGCAGAACATTAATTAAAAATTAGGAGCTGACTCAGAGCTTGAGGTTTCTAAGTTGGTTTGTAACCAAGTCGGGAAGGGTAAAGATGAGGGGAAGAGGGTGGTGAAAGGATGATAAAAATTAGACATTCTCGTGCAGAGAGCACAGCTGGGGAGCAGCAGCTCATTTAAAGTCCTTCTGTCCTTCTCCCTGAGCAAAACCCCCCTCGTGTGGGTAGAACTGGGGTACATCTATAAAAACTGTGGGGTGGAAGGAGCCATGAAGCTTCAGTGATCCGAGGTTGGCTGGAAGGGCAGCCTGGCTCCAAGGGGAAGCACTTCCCAGGCTTGGCAACTCCATTCCTGCCCCCTGCTCCTGTTGTGTAACCCTCTGTCTCAGTCCCACTGGCTGTTTTGAGAGGGGGCCATCAGGGTCACTGCACATGGACACGAGATTCCCAGGACCCCCATCCCGGGAAAACATCACCCAAACCCAGGGAGAGATGACAGGGACAAGCCAGCAAGAGGTGATGGTGAGAAGATACGGAACAGGACTGGAGCAATGAGGTCCCAGATGGGGGTGAGTAAAAGTGGGTGAGTAAAACCCTAATGGTGGGAAGGAGAGGGGAGGAAACCACAGTGCCCTCACTGCCAGCAGCTCCCAAGGGATGCAGGAGGCACAGCCAAAGATGGAGAGAGCAGGAGGGGTGGTGAGGCTGTTGCAGGCACTTTGGGTGTTTAAATCCCTGTTTGAAAAAGCTTATTTTTCCTTCAGTAACTCCAGCAAACCTCTGCCAGCACCGGCAGAACACAAATAATTAATAACAACCAGAGGAGAGGAGTTTCTGCTGTAGGATCC